TCGACTTTTGCATGCGAATAATCAGATTCTGATTTTCTTATTTCTTGAACTAAATTCTTGAATGAAAGCGTCGTTTCAAGGACTATTTTTGCGGGCTCGAAGTTCCTGAAGTTTATCGAATTCTCCCTAACCATCTTATTGCATCCTTTCTCCTTCATGATGGCAGTTGAATCTGCTTTACCAAAGCTATTCGTTCTTAAAGTCATCCCCGGTTTCTTGAACAGAAACTGATCGCGAATGCCAAATCAAAACAATTTCCAAGCTGAAAAAAGAAATGATAGCAAAGATTACAAAACTCGAAAGATCACAAAAACACGTCTCAGTTACAAAATACGATTGCAATTGAAAGACATAAGCATCAATTCTAATTCTGCAGCATAACCAATGCTTAATTTTCCAAGAAATGCTTCCTGGAAATTGATTCTGTGATCAATATTTACCTAACTAAAAGCTGATCGTAAACCGATTAATCAGGCTAACATTTTTTTATTTTTGAACATAACCAAGAATATCTATCATCGCCAAAAAGGCAAAATCAAAACCAGTCAAGGATTTGCAATTATAACTAAACTCGTAATCTAAAAGCGTCAAAAATCACTCACCAGTTTAACGTCCCCTTCTGTGGTCCCAAAAATATATGATTCTGAATGAATATGATCACCCCTTTATATATTCTGTTCTAGTGCGTGAAATTCAGGAAATTCAAACTTCAGAGTCAAATGCTCCTTTAATCACGGATATGAATTCTTTCTCGCGCCAGTTTAACCGAGAACTGTAAATTTCTTTGAAATGGGAATGCAGAAAATGATGGGTCTGATTCAAATTTGTACCAATTCAAAGCTTGATATTTGAATCCCTTTTTGTCGAGCAAGAAATACATATACTTCACATTCCTATATATAGATAGATACACAAATATAGAGAGAGAAAGAGAAGAAAGGATGGTCAAAGAAAGTAAGCCTTACTACGCGGCTTCCGGGAAGAACCAGAACACTTCAGCTGAGGTACCCAACCGAGGGAAGGTATGCAAGAACATTCTTTAGGAGATAACGTTTTCACCCCGACATTTTTTTTTAGTCAACACGTGGCAATACCACTATACTCTTAAGCCGTGTTTGGACATTTTTACCCTCTTAGGAGATATGGACAAAAAAGTCTTTTTATGCTTAGAACTTGTTGGACAAAAATTATTGCAAGTAATAAAATGCGTTAATCCCTCTTTGGTAGGGATTAAAATTCATATTAAAATTTAAGTCAAAGTTAATAATTTATTTCAATCGTATATTTTATGGGATTCACAACTTTTTAACAATATCAACTTTTATCAAAATCTACTTAAAATTTGATTTTAAAATCCCAATCAAACAAAACAGATGCTTAAATAATAGAATTTTAAGAATAATGACTTGTTCGATTTTGAGAATTGATTTTTTGACCATTAGAGAGAAAAGTGGATCCTACATGTGAGAGAAGAAGTAAAAAATGACGTTTTGAATAGTGAAATAACGATCAAAAAATAAATTTTTTTAAGGTAAAAACTAGTACCAAACAGACTGCAATGAGAAAATTAAGGAATAATAAAAAAAGGTTGAAGACCTCTTCTCTTTGAAACGAAAATTGATAGAACAAGAGAAAACTATCATGTTAACATAAGCAATCTTTGTAAAAACTTCCATACGAATGCCTTTGTAAAAATACTATTTTCTTTCAAGTTTCAAAACACATACGATTCATGGGAGACATTATTTTGGACATTTTTTAAACGTTTAGGAGAGATCACGTGTTGTATGCTAATTTAACGGGTAAAATGACATTTTTCGGAACATACGAGGCATGTACACTTTCCAAAGGTTGAGGATATGGATGCTATAGTTGGCAAAAGTTGAGGGCCCTAGCATCACAATGAGCAAAGGTTGATAACCACACTAGGAATTTACCCTTTGCACTGTTTGATGAGAATTAAAATCAAATTTTAATAAAAGTTAATGAAATGTATGATTAAAAAGTTGGAAATTCCATAAATATGTAATTTTAGTGAAAGTCGACTATATACATTCAAACTATCTTTTTATCTACACATGTTAAAAGATCTACATATTCATCACTAATTTCTATCTATTCATAATTCAAACGATTTATAAATAACTTTCAAATATGCTCTGATTATTTGTGTATTTGTAAGAGTGCATTCTAAGGTCATAAAACGCGCCATCACAAAATGACACAGCTTATGTTTGATGCTATAGTTATGGCTTCGTTTGTGTTTCTTGTGGGCGAATGAGTCAATGACTCGCCATGCTGCCTATTTTACGTCTTTATCTCATTTTCCTTTGTCTTGGTTTGGATGGTGGGTGCATAAATCTATATCATGGTGTCATATGAAGTGATTATAAACTTTTCTTTTTTCTTTTTTATTGTCAATTTCTATGTGTAAAATAAATAAATAAATAAATATACTTTTACCAAATAATTTGCACTACGAGTTGATGCTGCAGAATGTGACGAGCTTAGGGTGTGTTTGATTACATTTATTTTCCATGAAAAATATCAGTTTTCCACCTAAATTCCTATTTGAAGTGTTTGATTGCTATTTTTTTTTTATGGAAAACATTTTCCAACTTTTGAAAATATGCCTAATTTTCCTTGGGTGGAGGTGGTTTTTATTTTCCACAAAAGATGGAAAACATTTTCTTTTCTAGGTGAGATTTTCCATGTCAATCAAACACACTCTTAGTGTCATTCAAAGTCTGCAGTTTAGTAATTCTTTATTTTCAAGTATTCTAATGTTAATTGATTGTGACCTTGACGAGAAGTGAGTGAACGAATTGGTTCATATTTTGTTTCATTTGCGACTTTTACTTTGACCTTTGCGAGTTGAGTTTACTGTATTTTAATTTTCATTTCTTCATTTGTTAGAGACGATGGTTTTCATTAATAAAACTGAGTAATTTATTTTATCCAAAAATAATAATAATAAAAATACAAGAATTCAAAACAAATATTTTTAATTATAGTACTTGTAAAATGGTTCAAAGTCAATGTTTTAGAATGAAATTGCCAAAAATACACTTTCCATGACCGTGATAAATGTTCCATGTTGATATTTCATTTTCCAAAAAGTAACTCGCATTTTGTTGACTTTATTCCATTTGATTTTCCTTCTGTTGATTAGAATTTTGCCAAAGAAACTTCACTATTATTCATTAATTACTCATGGAACAAAACAAAAAAATTGTTAAAATAGACAATTGACTCGAAATTACGTATGAGAAATGAATTCAAACTTTATATGGAGTCAGTCACAATATTCTTTAATATTTTTAAATCAATTCAGACATTGAACAAAAAAAAAAAGATTAAATTTCTTGAATAAAATGGAATAATAATAATATATTAGAAATAAAAACTGCAGCAATTGCTAAATATTATTTAGGTTCTAAAAATTAAAGATATTCACAAACAAGTTAGCATGATATATTTCAAAAATGAAAAACTCGTTAACAATTTTGTTTTTCTCTTGAAAAAAGGTGACAAGAAAATCGTAGACATTAAATTTTTTTTTTTAATGACAATGTTAATAACTTTAAAAAAAAAATGGAGTGGTGGATAACTGAATAATACTTATATATCTATTGAAATATGGAGTCAAAAATAAAATTTAATATTTTATAAATAATTTATAAATTTGGTCAAACCAACACTAAAATATTTTGATGAGGTGACCAATGCCATTTGCAAGAATTCAGCGTGTGGCTCATTGAACAACAATAATTTTCAAAAATCAAGACTTCACAGGCAGCAGCCTCCACTCAA